CTCGGAGGCAGCGTCCGCAGCCCCTGGGCCGGGGACCCGTCTGGGTAAGAGCCACCGTATCCGCATCCACCGCTGCCCTGAAGTTGGGAGCTGCGGGACGGGAACTTGGGCTGGTTTTCAGGTGTGGAGGAGAGGGGAAGGATGGAGGTTTGGGGACCACTCCTCCCCTTCCCCCCTTAATTAAGAGTCCCACCTTCCATCTCTCCCCCGAGCTGGACCCCCAAAGCCGCCTCGGCCATTGTCATGTTCCCGGGTAGCCGGCGTTTCTCTGGTGCCAACGGGGGTGTGCGGCGGTTCAGAGATGAGGTGGCTGGCTGGGGGGGGCACAGCAGACCCTCTTTGTCTTGCTCCTCCAGTGGCAGCGATCTGGGGGATTCGGTTCAGATGGTCAGGATCAAGCAGGTTTCATGTCAATGCTAGAAAACGCCACGGGGTTATAAAGAGAGCAGAACTGATTTTTCCTGTCCTCTTTTTGGATTGGAAACAAATGTGCGAGCAGCACTTGTCAGCTGTGTAAAATGAAGCCGAAGTGAAATGACTCTTTGTCAGGTGTTCGAAAGGCAGCGGTAACCTCAGCCACCCACATCAGCATGCATTCCTGTTACCTGACTACTGTCTATACAGAGGGTCAACAATATTTGATTTGATTTGATTTTTTTTACAAATGCAGAGTGGTTTTTGTTTCCCTTCCAGAAGGGATCTGAAATAGAAAAAGAGAGACTATACAAAGGTCTCATGTAGGGTTTTACAAAGCCTGGGAAAAATCTGCTGAGATTTCACGCATGCCTCGTCTTTATTTCTTAAAAGTTTTTTTTCTAAGTTCTGATTCATCAGCTTGTGACCCATATCTAGGAGCTTTTTTGCTCACTTATGGAAGCTTCCCAGTTTAGACAAAGCGTAAGGCATGCAGGCGTACGTGCCAAAGCCAACCTACGGGGACATCCCAGCAAAATTGTAGTTTGTAATTCACTTCTGAGCGGTGGAATTTCTTATGCTGAATACTTTATAGTGTAGTTTTACAGCGAATGTCTGCATTATCTGCCCTGAAAATGGAGGAGATTGATCTTCAGCTCAAGTAAATGGCATATAAATGTGAACAAATGATTATTTTCTTTATTAAGTAGGAACCAAAGGGAGATTTTCAAGTAAAATGGGAAGGTCCTGTGTGGAGAATTTAAAAATCCTTTAAATGGGAGGTCCTTAAAAATGAAATCAGTTAAGCAAAAACATCACTTCTTTGTTCTTGATTATTCCATATATCTGTAAGCAGTGGCTTAAACATGTCAAACAACTGTGAAGTTTTTTCAAGGGAGTGCACACTTAAATACTGTCATGGGCTGGAATATGTGGAGGTGGATGAGGTGCCAAATGGAATGATAGTTCCATAGGATTCAATATCAGTCGTATTTTGTGATTGTGACAAATGCATTGCGTCAGATACAAATATCACACATCTCTGGGTCCAAGACGTATAAAACTGTGTCTAGAAAATGCTGAGTTTAGTAAAGATATAATGGAGGAGAGAGATGTTTAGGAGCCACATTTATTATCTCTTAACAAATGCTAGCGTGCTTGCAGGCTTAAACAACAGTAGCTGGAATAATGTAGTGTCAAACTGCTTGTCTGTGGCTGTATGTTATGATTAATAGTGATGGTGATAAATATTGTCTTCTAATCAGATATATATTCTTATGAGAATTTATTTAATGAATTGTAGATAGGGCCAGGGAAAATAATATATCTACACAAATATGCTGCTGCCGATACTCCCAGCTTTTGTACTGAAACATCAAAACAATGAACACAGTCATACATGCTTGAAACTGATAAGTATTTCAAAATTTCCATCTGTGTTGCTTTACTATCCATCCAGTCGAGATAAAACATCAATGTATTTTGCTACAAATATGCTTATGGGAAATGTTATTTGACACATGGTAATATACTGAATTTGCTTCTGATTTGTTGACTAGCATGTGTATAAGATGTTTGGTTCTATATTTAATAAAGATATGGTAGTAGTTGAGAAGAAACCACTTCATAGCATCCCCAAATGTACTGAGTATAATTCCATTTTACACTTGTGAACAGGTCAGTTTGTAAGCAACCCAATTTTGTTGGCACTTTGAATGGTCACTTAAGACCACTTGTTCTGTATTTAGTTCATCTTGGTGACCAAGAGGGCCATAATCCATATGGCAGAACCTGGGTCAGATTAAGATTCCAGTCACGTCTAGAAATGTCTACACATCAACAAACGGCAGGAGCAGAATTAGTTAAGTAAAAAGAAAAATGCTGATTAAGATAGTTCAGTAATAAGCAGCCTAGTTCTACTTTGACCTGTGAGGTGATTTGAGGAAGCTGTTTCCTAGTGCCACCCATGCACATTGTTAGAAGGAGTGGAGACCACTGGTTTTCCAGCCTTCCTTGTTCACTTCACTTTCCCATTTTAGTTATCCTTCATTTCTTCCTTCCTATCCCACTTTCTCTCCCATCTTTCCTCTCTCAGCAAAGTGAGAACTCACTTTATTAGCATCATTCCCTGCCTCCAAGAATTTGATTACCAGCGAAGTACATTGCTGCTGCTGTTCTTAGGACCGACTCCAAGTTCTGCTAGGAGGGAAAAGCAATTGGTCTACTCTAGTGCTGTTGTTGAAAGGGCCACTCGCACCTCTACACTTTTATTTCGCAAGAAGTTTTAGGTGCTCTAATAATATATGCTCCGACTCAGTGAGTTAACTGCATTTATTTTGATTTTAGCACATTTCTATCACCCTTCACATATTTTAACCTGCATTCTTCATTGTGATTTAAGAGGTTTATCTGATGAATATAAAGTCTTGGCTCAGCAGAACATAGTCCCTGCTTATAAGTACAAATCAGGGAAGGAGTTACTCTCTTACTAACCAGGTGACAGATACAGATTGGTTCAAAGGAAGAATCTAGGCCCACTGAGCCTCTCCCAAAACTCCTATGGAGGGGTTCCTTGTTTTACATGCATGTGTGTACAATGCACTGAATATTTATAAACACTTGAATTGTGGCGTGTTATTAAACACAGTCAGGGAAGAGACACGGTGTTATATCTTATTGCTTGGAAGCCAATGGCAGAATTTTCAACCATCAAGTGCCCTGACTCATCATCTGCCTCTGTGCATCATCTGACTCATCATCTGCCTCTGTGCCTCTGCTTCTAATGCATCCCATCCCCTAAGTGTGGCGCTGTGTATTGGAGCTTGGCAGCACTTAGCCTGTGGGCCAGATCTGGCCTGCAGATCCAGAAGGGTAAGTCTTTGCCTGTGCCCATGTTGGGACTGGGCGGCAGGGAGTTGTGCTGGAATTGGGCAGAGGCAGCTGGAAGCTGCATCTGCATTGCCACCACTTATAGTTTCATAGTTTCATAGATTTAGGGTCGGAAGGGACCTAGTAGATCTTCTAGCCCGACCCCCCGCCAGGGCGGGAGAACAACAAAACCCCAAAAACAAAAACGGGACTCAAATGAGTCCAGCCAGGTAGGCATCCAGCCTCTTCTTAAAGACCCCCAGGGTAGGGGCCAGCACCACTTCCCTTGGAAGTTGGTTCCAGCTCCTAGCTGCCCTAACTGTGAAGTAGTTTTTGCGGATGTCCAATCTATACCTCCTCTCCATCAACTTGTGCCCATTACTCCTTGTTATGCCAGCGGGCGCTAGGGGAAACAGCGTCTCCCCCAAACCCTTCTGGTCCCCCCTAGTGA